GGTTCCAGGCCCTTGGGAAGGTAGTTATTTCTGGAGTTTAGGGCTCCTGTGAAACAGCTCATCTCAATGGAAGGAAAAAAGCATGTATAATGCAGCATTATGGTTATGGCTTCTTATGATTTTTGACCCCAGATATCACCATGACTTGATCCATTTTGAGTTGTGCAGATAAACAGACCAAGCAACCGGCTTCCCAGGGCAGCTCCATTGTTTACACATCCGTGATATCCAGCTCAGCTGTGACTCAGCCATCAGCAATGATGTTCTGACCTTATTAATATCAATGGGAGTCTTCTTAACGAGGACATAATTTCACCCCAGAGGCCAATTCATTAATTAGCATCCCCAGCTATCCTGTCATTGGGCATATGAAGAGGGTAGTAACTTGGCTTATATACTAAGCAAATATGTGCTGAGTAAATATGCATTCAACTGCACGTATAACGACAACATACAGGGTCATAAAAGTTTGGCAGCAAGAGTGGAGAGAGGTGAGTGCAGCTCCTCACTCCAAACATCATTCAGTGCTGGTGGTACTTGCTCATTGTGAACTCTTGTCCAAAATCAATGTCCAAGGAAATGCTTTCTTAATTATTAGTTGTTGATTCCACGTGCTGCATGAAGTCATCCGAGAGTTGATTACGTGCTGCCCTGATGACATTATTTTTTTTTTTTTTAGCTGTGATAGCTGGAAGTCTTCTGTCCCTCAACGCAATACCTTCACTACGTGTGGTTTGCAACACCACTGTTCTGCTGCGCCTGTTGACAGGAAAGGGTGTTTTAATCATTCTAGTATGTCTATTATGAAATATTTCTGATTTCCAAAATAAAAATAGCCTAGCCTGCACTCTGAGCTAACATAACTCCTTCCCTTCCAAATCATAGTCTCATGTCAGAAAGTTGCCTCCTAACAAAAAAAAAAAAAAAAAAAAAAAAAGGGGGCATTTTTGAACATTCTTTGCATGTTAAAATTGAAAGGATTAAACTTAATTTAATAATAATGATCTCTCACAGTTAATGTTTCATGCAGACAGTGACAGGGCACAGTGTGATCACTAACAAGGTCAGGAAAGGATTTCTTCTATTGTGCAACATTCACGGATGTTAGTCTTCTCTGAAGTATTTGAGATTGGCCACCGCAGCTGATTAATGCTCTATTAGCTGGACTATTGGCTTGTCATGATGTGATAAGTCTCTCTCCCTGCTCTCATTTTCTGGATGATCTTTCTTAACTCTTCATTTAAGAGAGTTGAAGTTTGCTCAATAAAAAGCAACCATCGACCACTGCACAGATGTGATTATTTTAGTTATTTGCTAGAAAACCTTTCAATTTACCAATTTTAAGGAATTACTATCAGCAAAAGGGTGCGGAGAGATATAAAGAGAGATGGCATCTTGTGTTTTTCCACCTAGCTGGAAGAAAACCCCCTACAAATTGCTGAGCACACAAGCAGTTCTTCAAGTTTGACACAGAGGCAGAGAAGTTCAACAGAAGTCCAGGATGGGAACAACTTCTCCAAGTTTATTCTCACCATGTTAACCAACGTTTTTACTTTCAATCTCTTGTACAACAACTAGCTATGTTTGGCAAGAAAGAGGGGGAGCAGGTGTTGTGAAAATTTAAGTATTGTTATATCTGATAACAGCAAGCAAATACAAGTAAGTGGAGGGGGAGACAAAGTAGAGGATGGAGGCTGTATCTGACAGCAGATGCCAAGCCCAGGCCTGAGCTGGTAATATCTAACCACCATACGCGTTATGGGAGCCGTGCCAGAGGAGCTTCCACTAGTGGGAACCCTTTGGCTTCAGCTGGTGGGAGCAACTGCGTGGCTGTGTTGGGTTTGCGTGACAAGGTTTTGGTAGCAGAGGGGGGGGGGCTGCAGGGGTGGTTTCTGTGAGAAGCTGCTGGAAGCTTCCCCCACGTCTGACAGAGCCAATTCCAGCCGGCTCCGAGACGGACCCAGCGCTGGCCAAGGCTGAGCCCAGCAGCGATGGCGGTAGCGCCTCTGGGGTAAGGTATTTAAGAAGGGGAAAAAAAAAAAACCTGCACAACAGCCAGAGAGGAGTGAGAATATGTGAGAGCAACAACTCTGTGGACACCCAGGGCAGAGAAGAAGGAGGGGGAGGAGGTGCTCCAGGCGCCAGAGCAGAGGTGTCCCTGCAGCCCGAGGGGAAGACCATGGTGAGGCAGGCTGTGCCCTGTGCCCGTGGAGGAGCAGATCTCCACCTGCAGCCCGGGGGGGACCCCCCACCCGAGCAGGGGGATGCCCAAAGGAGGCCGGGACCCCGTGGGAAGCCCACGCTGGAGCAGGCTCCTGGCAGGACCCGTGGCCTCATGCAGAGAGGAGCCCACGCTGGAGCAGGTTTGCTGGCAGGACTGGTGAGCCTGGGGGGGACCCACGCCGGGGCAGTTCATGAAGAGCTGCAGCCCGTGGGAAAGACTCAGGTTGGAGGAGTCCATGGAGGACTGTCTCCCGTGGGAGGGATCCCACGCTGGAGCAGGAGAGGAGTGTGAGGAGTCCTCCCCCTGGGGAGGAAGGAGCGGCAGGTACAATGGGTGATGGACTGACCGCAACCCCCATTCTCCATCCCCCTGTGCTGCTGGAGGGGAGGAGGGAGAGAAACTGGGAGCAAAGCTGAGCCTGGGAAGAAAGGGAAAGAGGGGGGAAGGCGTTTTAAAGATTTTATTTTATTTATTCTTATCCTACTTTGATTTGATTGGTAATAAACGAACTAATTTCCCCACGTTGAGTCTGTTTTGCCTGTGACGGTAGGTGGTGAGTGATCTCTCCCTGTCCTTATCTCAACCCAGGGGCCTTTTGTTATATTCTCTCCCCTGCCCAGCTGAGGAGGGGTGACAGAGCAGCTTTAGTGGGCACCTGGTGTCCAGCCAGGGTCAAACCACCCCAGTGACACCGAGAGGACAATCCAGAGAGCAGTGTCACGCGCCGGGTGGGTCTGGGAGCCAGACTGGCTTTTGCTGGCAGCACCTCAGATAATGGCAGCGGGTGGTATCTGAATCCGCAGATTCAGGGCACGCTGGCAGTCGTCTGTATCCCAGGAAAATATATGTCTATAGAAACACCCCCTCTGTGCTTCCACCTCTGTATAGCCTAGAAGATATTTGTAACCTATTTCTCATCTCTCGCATCCTTCCAGTTTTACGTCTCCTTTGGATACCAGGTCAGCCTAGCACAGCATTTTTTAAACTGAGCCCAAGATTTCAGTCTCCTTCCTGAGGCCTCAAGCAGAAAAGGCAAAATATATGAACAGTGGTTTTGTTAGACAGATGCTTGACTGATAAGAAGACACAAACTGATCTTCATATTGTTTTCTTTCCTATCTGCTCAACACCCTTCATTATCCCCAGTAACTCACTTAGAAATCACCCAGACTCCCACTGAAGAACCTCCTTCAGCTCAGACAGGTAACTAGTATTTTGATTTCTAAATACACACGAACTATTTAAATATGGTGAGTTGGCCGTTTCCATCCAGTCTGTTGTCTGTCTTTGCATTACTGTACCTAAACCCCAGTCAGCCTTTTTTATAGGAAAAACTGTGAGTGGTAATTTTTTTTGCCTTTCATTAAAAAAATATATTTCTCAGCTGTTGACATCTTTCCACATTTGAAACGAGGTACTAAATTAACTAACTGCAGATACAATCAGATTAATGGAGACTGACCAAAAGCAACATTTACCCAAGAACTCCAACATCCTCAGCTTTCTCATGTCTCCTCCACCCCACTGAAAATGAAAGCCCTGATAATTTTGGATAGCATCTGTGTTTCTGCTCCACCCTTCCTGCTGCTCATGGCATCCTTGCTTGTGTGGATGGAAGAGTCTGATTCTTTGTTCACAAACTCAGGAGAGGAACAGAGATTTAACTGCTTTACTACTTCTCCCTCAGTCCTTTGTTACAAATTAAGGCCTAGAAGTCCTCGGAGGGCATTAGCTTAACTTGTTTTCAAGGTAGGAAGGTATCCCTTTTTGCAGATCCCCATGTTCTTGTTTACACAATTAACTAGTAAGACAGATGCACAGTCCCAATTTTAAACAGGAAACCTTTACTACCAAGTGATGACAAGCGTCCCACGCTGGCGAGCTTGTTTTTTCGTGCTACTGGAATTCCCGCATGAACAGCAGGCTGCTTATTTTGTTTAAGCCAGACCCGATGATGGCAGATCTCAGCACGAACCAGACCGTCACTTGGACAACCCCAAAGCGTACCCTGAGCACGAACAACTCCAGCGTTAACTTTTGCCACTTCCAGCCGCGGTGAACGCAGCAGCATCCCTTCCCGCTGCCCGCATCTCTGCGGCAAAGCCTCGCCATCCTGTAAATTCGGCGGCCCCACTTCTCCGCAGGGCAACGGCCGCCTCAGCCGCGTGTGGGGATCCCCATGGACGGTTCACCCTTCTCCTCCCCAAAACCCCCCGGGTGTGAGGAGCTGGCAGCGTCTGCCAAGCCACGCAGCCGCGGATGGGAAAGAAGCAAGAGCAATAATTTAAAAAACAAACAAACAAACAAACCAAACTTGGCTTTATTTTTCCCTTTGTTTCCCCCCTCCCTCTCCTTCAGCCTCGAGGCCTCCCGCGTGCCCCCCTCACCCGTGCCTCCCCACAGCGCCTTTAGGGGCAGAGTCTTGTGGGGTGGGGGGGGATCAACCCCGCCTCTGAGGAGGCTTTCCGCGGGGAAGAGGGGGTGCGGGGAAAAAAAAAAAAAAAGAAACAAACAAACCAAACCCGAAGAAAAAAAAAAAAAAAAACAATAAAAACCCAACCAACCAACCAAACCCAAAAGCAGCCCGCTCTGTGCTCCTCGCGCCCTAGAGGTGCCGGGCGTGGGGCCGCTCTGCCCGCCCCCCGCCTCCCCACTCGTTGGCAGGAGAAGCCCCGCTGCCAGTGGCCGGCGTGCGGGTGACGTCATCGGCGGCGCCGCTGCGCGCTCGTCCCGCCGCTTCCCCCCCCCCGCTCCCTCCCCCCCCCTCCCCCCCTCCCCTTTCCCCCGTTCCGTTCCGCTCCGCTCCGCCTTCGCGGCCACCGTAGCGGGAGCGGCGGAAGCCCCCTCACCGGCCACCGTCCCCGGGAGGCGGCGGATGGTCCGCGTTGTCCCGCCGCTCCCCGCCCGCCCCTCTGGGAGTCGGCGGCCTCGGCGGCGGCAGATGGCGGGGGAGCGCGGCCCGGCGTGGCGGGGAAGGAGGCCGCCGCCTCCGCCGCCGCGGCGGCTCCTCTTGGCGTTGCTGTTGTTGTGGATGCCGGCGCTGCCGGGGTTGGGCTCCGCTGTTGCCGCCGCCGAGGAGGCGGTGGGGAAGGAATGCGACAAGCCGTGCGCCAACGGCGGGCGGTGCCAGCCGGCCAGCGGGCAGTGCGAGTGCCAGCCCGGCTGGGTGGGCGACCAGTGCCAGCACTGCGGGGGACGCTTCAGGTGGGTCCCCTGAAGGCTGAGGGGCCGTGGGGTGGGGGGGGGGGGAGGGATCTCGGGGACGTTTCGGGATAATATGGCCCGTGGGGGTGAGGGGTTTGGTTTGAGGAGGGGGTCGGGTGTGTGTGGGGGTTCGGTGGCTTTGGTTCGAGGTGGGTGCGAGAAGCGGGTTTTGGGCCCCAAAAGGTGTGGGAGACGCCCCGGGCTGAGGGTGCCCGGGAGCGATTCTGAGGGCTGTGGGTGCGAGGGGCAGATCCCGGTGACAATAAGGGTGTAGGTGAGAGAGCTGGGTCGGAGCCTGCGGAGGGAACGAGAAGGGTTTGGGTGTCCCTGGGTGAGTTTGAGCGGGGGCAAGGTGTGAGCATGAGGGGCTGATCCCGGGGGGGTGCGGGTGTAAAGGGCTGTTGGGGGGGGGACAGCAGGGGTTTGGGTACAGAAGAAGGTCTGGGGGGGCATGGGGCTGTGAGGAGGGGAGGCTTTGAGGGGTGACGGGAGTGTGGGTGCTAATGGGCTGAGGGGGAGCACAAGGCCAGGTGTTTGGGGGGACAGTAGAGGATGCAAGCGGTTGGGGTGGCGTGGGGGGAGGGTGTCTGGGAGTAATGGGGTTTGCGTGTCGGGTGCCCCACCGAACAGCAGTTGGTGAGTACAAGGTGTTTGTACCGTGAGGAGGTGGCTGTGAGGGGATGGTATTTTGAATGTTGGTTGCACAGGGGTGACTGGGGTTCAGTAGGGTGTCTGAGGGGCTGTGGCTGTGTAGGAGCAGGGCTGTGGGTGTAGGACATGGAGTAAGTGTGGGTCTGGGTGCAATGGACTGTGCAGGACAGAGCCTGGGAGATGATGGGGTGCCAGTGTGAGTAACTGGGTTCACGGTGTAGTAGGTGTGGAGAGAGGAGTGAGGCTGGGGGAGTGGGGATTGGGTAGCGGGACGTATTGGGAGCAGCAAGGGCAGGTTGGGGGCCTGCAAATGTAGAAGTGCGAAGGGTGGTGGGTGAATGGGGGCTGGTTTTGTGTGTGGAGGTGGGTGGGAGCAGTGAGGAGTGGGGCCAGTTCCTGAGTGGGGGCAGATGGGGGACTGGATCTGCCTGGGTGCAGGTTGGAGTGGGAGAGGAAGGACATGCAAGGGGGTATTAGGGCTGGGTGGAGGCAACGGAGGTGTTTGTGGGGGGGTTAAGCAAACTGGGCAGGTGGCAGAAGCAGGTTTTGGTTAAGGGTGAATTTGGGGAGAGGTATGCGTGAGGGAGAGAAGCAGCGTCACAAAGGGGGTAGCTGGCATGTGGGGAGGCTCAGCTCTTGGGGCAGAGGGGTACGTGCAGGACTGATGCTGATTTTTGGGGAGGGACAGTGGCAATAACAGCTTGGTAGGAGGAAGCTCCTGGGTTTGCTGAGGGACGAGGCCAGAGCTGGGCAGCCAGAGGCGATAGAACAGGACTGGGGATGGTGTGAGGGTCCTGCCTCTGGGCATCTGGGCAGGGTCTTTTTTTTTTTTTTTTTTTTTTAGGAAAAAAAGGCTAAACACTGGTTCTGGGCGGGCAGGGGGATGGAAACCCTCTGGCTCTGTGCTTGTCCAGTCCATGTGCCTATGTGTGTGTATGGTGTATGTGGGGGTGAGAGGTGTCTGCACAGGAGGAGAAAGGTGATCTTTGGGCTGTGCAATGCTGGAGAGTGTATTGTCTGCTGTGCTGGGGCCAGTTCTGGTGGTGATGCGGTACTCAGTTGGGTTGTGTGTCTAAAGTCTACCCCATAGGACAAGAAATTCAAAATCTTCATGGGAATAAGTTGGAAATGCACCCTGGCTTCTCTATAAATTTAGGTTTTCAGTGGAAGGGGTTTTTGTAAGATGGTTGCCTGCTTTGGTTTTATCAGCTGTGGCAGTGAGAGCCAGCGTGCATGTCTGCATGAGATAGGTGAATTCCCTGGGCAGAGCTGATTCTTGGAAAATAAGGAAATGAAAAAAGGGGTGATTATTCTAGGCAGCGATTGCTTTTTTGAGGAACTTCTTATGGAGAGTACCATTTGATGATTCTTGCTGTAGATTTGTGGGAAAGGGAGATGTCTGTGTAAGCTGAACTCAAGGAGTAGAAACACTTCGTGTGTTTTAGGAATAGAGGTTTCTATTTTTTTTATTTGTATTTTTTCACAGTTGGTAGATGGGTGTATGATGCAGCTAATTTAAAAGGAGGTTTGGGTGGAAACAATGCCAGGCTAGGCAAACACTGGAAGTTGAAAGCTTCCTTTTTAATGTTTTTTGCCACTGTGTCATGATAAGAATTTTCATTTAGTTGAGGAAGAGCATTGTGAAATAGCCACTTACCTGCTACTTTCCTCGAGCGGTTTAGGATGTTGGTCATTTTAAGGGGACTAGATCTGAATAAAGGCAGAGTCTCCTGAGTGACAAAACTGGTGCTTGTTATATATCCACTGCTAAAGGCCTTTTTTTTAGCCTCTTACCTGTTTTGATAAAACTTCTTCTATCTATTTCACATATAATTCCGGTCTAAAATTGTGACCAGAAATGTACTGCGTGTTTTTCTCTCTAGGTGTTTTATTTAGCTGTTTGTTTATTTATTAGTGAGTTGAAGTTGCCAGTAATGTTTTTAAACTTTGAGCTCTGAGGAAAGTGCAAACAAGTCCTTTTAGGAGTGTTCAGAGCTTTGCAGCCACGACTTTCACGTGCCTTGCGTTTGCTCTGTCTCCTGTCAGAAGTGGCACTGCTGGGGTTTTGTTTTGGTGTGTGGCTGTCAAGCGCTTGGCTTTAAAAGGCTTCACATGTTCCTGAATGCTGTAGGTACAAATGGGAAGCAGAAGGGCAGGTGAAAATTATTTTCTAAGTGTGGTGTATTCCACATGCTTATCTGCTTGACTGAGATGTAATTAAATTTGGCATGTTAATCTTCACGCCCTTATCTAGATGGGTATGATGACTGTATTTGTGGCCTTGACTTTTTTGTTTACGTTGAACACTGGGGTTGTCATGATCCAACTTGTGCTTCCCTGACCTACTAGTGCCTCGCGTCTTCCTGTGTTTGCAATGAAGAACCAACATCTCAGCTTCGCGCTGTAGTCAGCTAAGCTTCTACTTGCTGTTTTCATTGGGGAAGTCTGTTTAAATATTTAGTCTGCAGTATAGGTGACAAACCCGGGGTGGACCATTTCCTTTCTTGTTTCACCCACTCCACAAAAGGGGAGATCGTGTGCGATGTGTTACTGTTCTAATGGGGATGTGTGGGGCTTTTCTAAGCACGTGTGGTGTGCTGTGACTTCTTAAAAAGAGAAGGGCGTAGTAGAGGTGTACCTGGATGTGGTTTGTTAGCGATCGTTCTTGGCTGCAAGACTGCCTTCTGAGAAAACACAGAGCTCTGCACGGATCAGCGATGCTCTTGCGGGGGTGAGTTATGAAGGACTTTGGGTGACTTTCTTTTTTTAAGATGTGGAACCAGCCACTCGAGTTCTTTAAAGATAAAGATCTTGGTTTTAAAGGAAGCTGAAACAGAAAATATAGGACGTGCCTGATGCGCTTGAGTTTTCTATTTCTGTACAAACCTCCAGCGGGCTTCTGTGCTGGCCGGAGCCTGCTGCAGGCCAGTGGCTTCGCGCTGCCGTGGTCTGGGCAGGAGAGGACCGGTGCTGCGAGGCTGTCTGCTGGGAGGGATGAGCAATCTCCAAGTCACAGAGCTGCAGCAGCACGTTGGAGATAATGTTTCCGAGCAGCGGGAGCTCAGGAGCACCAAATGGGAGAGTGAACTTGCCAGCGTTGGGTGTTGCACAGTCCAAGGGATGCTGCGAGCTTTGAGACCGCAGACTCTTCAGAGCTCTTTTGCAGCTGGGTGACACAACCTCTTGCCCTTCTTGACTTGAATTGTTTCAGCTGCCTGGCTGCTGAGGGAGGTAAAGCACAGGTTAAGATATGACCACTGTTTTACGTAGATATATTGATCAGAGATTGTAGAGGAGTGGATTAACAAATTCAGGATAGTGCTTGGCTTCTGGAACAGTGATTGTACGCGGATTGTGTATATAGGCATGCTGATGGGCAATTTGATGTATGATTGTAGCTGAAAATATGAACAGGCTATACAGGCTATATTTTGACTATGGAATGAAATACCAACTGATTCCAGAAAACTGGTTTTTATGTGTAAAGGCACTGGTTCTCCTTTCATGGTAATACTTTTTTTTTTTTTTTTTTTGAGCTGGGAGATGGAAAATGCTAAGCAGTGCTGAACAGTGCAACATGACAGTTGGAGAGGAAAAAAAAAAAAAGATTAGAGTGTATCTTTTAAACTACCTTTTTATTAATTTAATGGAGGCAGTTATGGGCTGCTGATTGAACATTATTAAGGAGTTGGTGGTAATACAGTGTCCTTGGCCAAAGAATATTACAGTGAAGAGGAATTTTATCTCTAGGAGATTTGGGTAAATCATAACCTGAGAGAGTTTCTAGCTGGCAAAAAACTATCGCAGTTCCCGTTCTTAAATGAATGAGAACTTTTAGTCAAAAGCTAGTATGCGAAACCATTGTCTTTAAAAAACTACCTGAGGCAGTTTAAGGCTTTAGAAAAGTCAGGAAACTACTTAATATATCTAAGGATGTTGGCAATTTGAATCAAATCAGTTTAAGTGCTCAAATTAGATTTGGGTTCTGCATTTGTGCCTGATCGCCATTCTGTTTCTCTCTTTTCATTAGTACATTATCGTGCTTTAAAATGATTTTCTCTTCCATGTTGCTGTGTGAAAGGCTCTCTCAAATGTTGTGCACTGGTAATAAAAGAATAAGCTATTCAAGTAGGAAATAAATATTTAAGCATTATCAATTTTAAAGAATACACTAGGGGAAAAAGAACCTTTATATGCTTTTATTTAGTTCTTGGAGGCATTATTTCCAACTCTGGATTTATAATTTTGCTAGGAGGTGTGTGTGTATATCTGTCTACATATGCGTATCTCTATTTCTGTCTATCTATGCCTGTATTTAACTTGTCTGTTCATTGAGAGAGAAGCTCATG